AACCGCAGTCAGCTGATGCTCCTCCCAGCTGACTTCGGCGTCGGGCTTGCGTAGGTGTGTGAGGTCGATTTTTTGACTTTGACAGAAGGTTTTCGTGTTATTTTTTAGTACATTTGTGTTTGATGTATGCTGAGAGAATGGCGTTTGTGTGGGCGGTTGGTGGTTGTCTGTTGGAGTTGAGGTTTATTTGGAGTGATTGTGTTAATGATGGCTATACAGTGTTTAGTCATGTCTCGCTTACGAAGATAAATTAATTATGAATGGGATTTGATATTGAGGAGAGAGAGACGTGTGATTCTTTAAAACCATGACAGGAATATTGAATTATGAATGATCTCACGGAGTGTACAGGGATGCAATATAAGCTTTTTGTTTAGAGATGATTTGCGTGCAATTGATAGATACATGTTGACCACTCCTAATGTAGATGTTAAACAGTCAAATGTGTGCATGCATTTATATGTAAATGTTGATAAAAAATGTCCTTCATAGAAATTGTCAAATATCAGTGTAATTAAGCTGTAAGTGAGAATGGAAAGGAGGTGTTCTGCATGCTGTCACATGAAATAAGATTTTCTAGAATTTTTAAATTGGTGTCAAAAGATAAAACAAAGTAAAGACTTTAAATATGAGGCAATATCTTAACTTTTAAAGATTGTGAGGGAAGAAGGTGCCACTACTCTTTTTTGTAGTCTTGAAATATATTAATGTTTTTAATCTTAAAGAATACAGAAAAAAATATCTGAAACTAATTTTTTTGTGTATGATGCATTCTAGTAGTGATGAGGCTATTTAGCACTTTTAAGTTTGTCATGTCTTGGTGGCTATAAACTTATGATATGATATAGACTATTAACCCAATGTCGATGGGAAAATGGTGCGTTCCCTTTGGCAATGCTTGGTTAAATGTTTCTGCACATAGATGGCTCTGCCAATGCTTAGCCACAAAGGAGTCAATTAGTAGATCATGCGACCTCACTTTTCCTTGAAAAAGCGGGAAAACGCTTTTTTTAGTAATGTTATCAATATTGACACTTTTTTTGTTATAAACATTATAAGTACTATATTGTTACTGACATTACAAACAGCAGTATAAATTACTAGAAAATATCGAAAATCAAGGAAAAGGGTAAACAGGTGAGAGGTACTTTGCGTAATTGACTCATTGGTGACTTAGTACTTGTGGAGCCATCTATATGTTAAAACAATTACTAAATTCAACACATACAATGGGGCATGGCATGTACGTACATGCCATGCCCGGCGACTTGGGGTTAATATTGTAATGATTACTAAGAACAGTCCTAGACCTTTCATGAATAACCCCTCTTGGTGTCAGAACTTAAATGAGTGCCTCTTCTTTTTATGGTAACTCGAGAGTATGACAGAAATACTTTCTCTTAGGCTCAGCTTTGTGCCATCTTAACCCACTATAGCAACGTTATATCTTAAGAGGCATCTGTTTGTGAGTATAGAGCCATTTTGTGTTTGTGATATCTTTCCAGGTATGTAGAAATTATAACTACTGGTATTGCTCTTGACATACCAAATTAAAAGGGTTACATTAGTTTTCATTGAATGTTTCATGGTACTTTTTTTGTTCCGATTAAAAAAGAGTTTATAATGCAGATACATTTCAGTAGTTTTAATTGTAGTAGTAAGAGTTTTATTTAGTAAGAATTATGACAAGAATTTGTGAATATTTCTTGTTATTAACTTTGTAAAAACTTTCAACATTTTATACTGATGTGTTGCCTTTAAACTTCTGTCTAGAATTATCGAGGGTTAAATTTATTAGTTTATTTTCCTTAATATGAGGATTGGTGAATGTGTGTTGAGCAGTGAGGGAACGGCTTCTTTCTTCGCTTTCTTTAGAACTGAGGGAAGAAAGCGGCAAATGCTGACAAGAGCATCACATGTTCTGTTCTTAGATGGCTCTGCAAGTGCTTATTCACAAAGGAGTCAATTAGTAGATCATGAGACCTCACCTTTCCTTGAAATAGTGGGAAAATGCTTTTGTTAGTAATGCTATCAATATTGACACTGTTATTTTTGTTATAAACATTATAATTACTGTATTGTTATTGACTTTATTAACAGCAATATTAAATACTAAAAAATGTTATCGAAAATCAAGGAAAAGGATAAATAGGTGAGACAGGTAGTTCTCTTAATTGGTTTATTGGTGACTTAGTAGTTGTGGAGCCATCTATATGAAATAAATAATTAAATTAAGCAGACAATGGACATGGAATGTACGCACATGCCATTCCCAGCAGCAAGTGGTTAATGTTGAGACCTTATCCGAAACTTGTTCGTTCCAACAAATGGATGAATATTCAGAAAATTTATGCATTTTGCTGTACTGGAAGTGAAAAGCAGATTTTGCATATTCTCTTGTGTAACTTTAAGAATATCTTATTGGTCCAGGATGAAATACGTTTTTTTATGGCTTTCATTCTGTTCAGAACATGTAACAGTGAAAATACTACAGGACATATACAGATATGCTCTTGCTTAAGGCTTATAAACAAAATCATAGTATGGAGAGTATTATTTTAAAGCTCCATTGTTGTTAACCCGATGCTGTTGGTGATGGCAAGTGAGTACATGCCATATCCACTGTGAGTAGTATATTAATTGTTTTTACACAGATGGGTCCCATATGTACCAATGAGCCAATTACTAGAAGTACCTGTGTCACCTGTGTACTCTTTTTCTTGTTTTTCTGATATATTTTCTTTTATTTTCTGTTGCTATTAGTAATGTTGCTAACATTATAACAATTATAATGTCTATAGAAATGATAACAGTATTGATAATGATAGCACTGATTTTTTTTAAATCTGAAAATCAGGTGAGGTGACGAGGTCTACTAATTGACTCCTTAATTGCAAAACACTCGTCGATCCATCTATGTGTAGAAACATTTTTTAAACAGTACTGCAGTGAACTACATATTCCCGGCAGCATTGGGTTAAGTAAATTAGACAGTGGAACAGGAATTAGAATTTCCTAACTTTTCCCCAGATCAAATGTTAGCTTCAATCAGTCTTCAGTCAAGGTGGTCGGTTAGTTTGGCTGCCAGACTTTTGCACCTAACGGAAAAAGTATATTTTGGAGTTGGGAATAAGGTAGGAAGTTCTGACCTTTAGGTTATTAGGATTTTTGTTCTTTTTGAGTTTGTAGGTAGAACCATATATTTGTATATATATAAAAATGTAAATATATATATATATATATATATATATATATATATATATATATATATATATATATATACATATATATATATATATATGTCAGGTTATTTTAGCAATCTTGATTGATCAAAAAAGAGAAGAAAATATTTACAAAATCACTTATAAGAAAAAAATAAAATTACAAAAGAAGAAAATATTATTATTTTTTTAGTGTGAATATAACAATAGCAACTTTGTACTTACAAATCATACTGAGAAATGCAGAAGCTGCTTTTTTTTTTTTTCCATCGGGAAAAAAGAGACAAATTTTACCATTTTTTTTTTAACCAAAGAGAGAAAGAGAAAAAAAAAACTAATAATTCAAAGTTTAATTATGTTGTTTGCCCACCAAAAAATAATATTGGGCTTATCACATAAAAATTGTTCTACTTTTCAGTTCAGCGTGAGCAGTATGAGTGCACCAGCTCAGCAGCAGACCGACAGAGGGAAGTGTGTCTTCTGCAGAATCTGTGATGGAGTTGAGCCAAATAACATCTTGCATCAGGTCAGTGTACTAGGAGGGGAGATTTCTTTGTTCTAGAGGAGGGATTTCAGCAGCCTACTTATGATATTATCCTTCTTTTGTGCAATATGTTTCAGTTAGATTAAAACTGTGTAATAGAGCGTTTTCATCAGACCAGCTGTCAAGCAAGTACTGTCTTGCTACAACCACTTTCTTGGACGAAATCCTTGGAAAGAATAATATGTTAGTAATCACCAGTTAAAATATGATTTGAGCTGGATGAAAACTGTTTTTTGCAAATATTTAAGTGAAGCAAGGCACAGGTACAGGATCCTAAATAAATGGTATGGATAAGTCTTCTTTGTGTGAGAATGTTCAGCAGTTGTTAATAGTGATTTGTTACTTTTTAGGATGTATTATTAATTTTCATGTGTATTTATGGAATCTTTGCTTTTCTATATAACTCCATACCAGTATTTTAGAGAAGGTGTATCTCATGAATGTTCAGATACCAGTGGTTATTAACACCAAATTTGGTAAAAATGTAAAACTCCTTTTTTCTTTTTTATCAGGATGATGAATTTGTGGTGTTCCCAGACATCAGGCCAGCAGCTCCCCACCACTACCTGATTGTCCCAAGGCACCACTACATTGATGTCAAAAACCTCTCGGCAGACCACATCCCCATGGGTAAGGGCTCTACTGTCATAGAAGAAATATATGAGGTCTATCCTTATGTGGCACTGTCTTTTCTTTTCTTCATCATATTTTTTCTCGAAAGAACAATATAGATTAAAAGACTTCTTTTTATCACACAGTCGAGAAGATGGTTTCCCTTAGCAAGGAAGTGTTGATAGCTCAGGGCGGTTGTGAGTCCACTGCCAGACTTGGGTTCCATTGGCCGCCCTTCCACACGGTCAGCCACCTCCACCTCCATATCATTGCACCTGAGGCAGAGATGGGCTTCATTGCGCGGGGGATGTTCAAAAAGGATTCATTTTGGTTTGTTAGTGTAAGTATTTGGTGCACTAGTTTGGGTATTGATGGGCATTACATATATGTGAATACATGTACACTCACTGTACACTTGTTACCAGAATATTTATCATATATATATATTTATGTATAAATGTGATTTTATTTATCAGAGTCAGCATGTACATGACAATGACTAATCTTTTTCTTTCCCAAGAATCATGAACGTTAATTGTCTTTCAGCCCGAGACAGCCATTCAGAGACTCCGACAGAAGATGTAGCACATAGTTCAGTACTCGACAGTGGTGAATCCCAACATTGTGCTCGGCACAATCTAACCCTCCATAGAGTCTGTCACTGTCGTGCAAATTTTTTCAGGAGGAGGCTGTTTGATAATTGATGAAGATAACAATTTGACAATAAAGACATGTTGTAGAAATGATTAGAAATAGATGTTATATATGTGGGAAATTGAAGGAGTGTTGATTAATCTGATATATTTTTAATTATTACTTAGAAATTATTTTATATAAGATTTTGCACATAACCCACATCAGTGCCATAACTATGAGCAAAATAATATTTTTCCTATTGCTTTGTTTCCTTTGGTACTATATATTGGTTTTTAAATTTAGTTTTGAGTCTTACTGTAAAAACAGAGCATTTGTCGTATATATTGTGAGATTTTTCTTGCACTTCTAGCATGAGATATAGAATTTATTGCATGGAATATTAAAAGAAAATTGTACTACAAGGTCCACTTCTGAGCCAAAGCATGTGACATAGAATGTTTCCCTCATAAATGTTGTAAGTCTATCCTTTGTAGTTTTTATGCGCTGTTTAGCATCAGATTTTCAATTAAACATATTTTTCCTTTTAGGGAGGTATTTCTAATGATGCAGCTATGATGAGATTAATAGAAATATGTAAGTTAATGACGGAAATTATAGTTTTTTGGAAAGGAATTTCAAGATTTAGTCTGGTGATTTAACGTAGATTTGATATATGTGGAAAAGTTATAGAAGAAAATGAAACGGCTGTGAGTATCATGGTGCACATTTAAATGTGGCTGTTCAAAAAGTATGTAGTGTAAATGAAAGTTTATTTTGATATTCTGTTTTTTTGAGGGATAATAATTGCAAGGAAAAGTTGATACACGTTTTGATTTAAACTTTCGTGCGGTTCTGTAATTGCTGGAATGCTAAGAATAATACCTATGCATTTATTAAGCTAAATATGTATTATGTAATTTATTAGGTGTTTAAAAATGACAATAATATGGATAATTTCCAATAATATGCTATACCACCAAAGAATCACACTTTTAAATAAAGAAAAATAGGAAGCAAAAAGTAATAAGAATAAGAAGCATGCTTTTGGTATTATTGTGACCTTTCTTACTGGAAAGAAAATGATGAGGTCATAAGTGCAGAGCTGAAAATATATGGTGCTATTTCATCATAGTGTTTTCCCGAATTATGTAAGGCCAGTGTATTGCCATTATAGATTGTAGTTTTGCATTAGAGTTATGTTTCTACCTTTCGTAGTTTAGTCAGATTAAGAAGTATGTTGAAATTATCAATAAGAAATGTTTGGGTGATATATTCTGTATATTATTTTGTATTGAAGATATTTGATCCTGTAATGATTTTGTTGATACTTGTGCCATTGTGAACCAAAAAGTGTTATAGTATATCATTTGAATTGTTTTGTATGTTATGTTATTGTTACCCATGTTATGTATTGTATGTTGTTGTTTTGTTTTTTTTCCTTTACTGGCCATATTTCAAACACACTAGTGTATTCTGCATGTAGTCCACCCACCCCTCAGTTGGGTAACCTGCCATGGTCTTCCTGCTTTCTGCAGCCATTGTCAGGACTGGGTGACTCTAAAGTGGGTGAAGAGGAACTTTAGGACATGTTCACACTGCCCTTCACTGAGAGATATATTCAGTCTCTTCCATGTACACCATACCCATCCATACTGATACACTCAATCTCTTCCATGTACACCATACCCATCCATACTGATACACTCCATGGAAACCTACCATCCATACTGATAACAATCTCTTCCATGGAAACCATACCATACCCATCCATACTGATACACTCAATCTCTTCCATGGAAACCATACCCATCCATAATGATACACTCAATCTCTTCCATGTACGCCATACCCATCCATACTGATACACTCATATTCACACTTCATCTGGACACTGCATACCTCCCCACTCATCCAAAACCTCATCCTCTCGATAATATAGATATACCCATAAACGTACCAAATAACAAGTATTACATTACTAAGGCGTGTGCATAATTGATGTCACGGGGAGGACAGAACACACAGACAAATAATAGATGTTAAGGTGTAAGCTGTACAAGTGTATAATGTGACTGTTCGTTGTGTCTTTAGTAGTAGTAGTATTCTAGACTATACATTTATTTTTAGTAAGGCAGTTAAAAGTAGGAGTTCAGTCAGGGAGCAATTTGATGCTGCATTTTTTTTTTTTTTTTTTTTTTTTTTTTTTCCATTCATTCATTCATTCAGTATTTATGATGGATTTTTTTTTCAAACCAAAGAATTGTATTGATACCTACTCTCCAAATAGAACCTTAATCCTGTGAATATTTTAAGGACAATATTTTCTTCTATGTGTTCTGAGTTTTAAAAACTTGAATCATAGATTACCTCAAGCAAAAAAAAGTTTTTATTATCCTCCTATTATTTTTAAGAAGAATCTTTTTAGTAAATAACTATTTACTTTTTTCATTCTGATTGATTTAATTATGTGTCATGAATCCCATTTTT